CCTCCGAACCACACATGTGCACTGAAAAATATTGTTAGTATCCAAATTTCAGTTAAATAAATAAACACTCAGTGTTTACAATGAATAGTTATAAAATGCTATTCACCAATTCTGCCACATAATACTATCTATCATTACTTTTCTAGCATGATATTTTGCTAACAATTGTCTTGTTTTCTTTATGTGTTTGCTAATTCAATCTGAACCCACCTTGAATTATAGAAATATCCCAATAGTACATTATGACTCATTAAATAGTCTATCAGTGTTACCTCTTTAAATAAATCTCTCCTGGAGCTTTTGAGCTGTTCAAATTAGGTCAGGTTTCATTTTTAATCGACTGCTGAGATATTGTCTTGAGATCTATCTTCACCATTATTCTGGGAACTCTCTCTTTCTCTCTCTGTTTCTTACAACATATATTTCTTTCACTCATTTACTCTCTCATTATACTTCTTGAGAAAAAGCATAAATTTGGGGTTTCTTACATGCCTGAAAATGGCATTAATCTAAAGTAGAATTTGATCAATAGTTTGGCTGAGTATAAAATTCTAGGTTGGAAATATTTTCCCTCAGGTTTTTAAAAGCATTCGTCATTGTCTTCTAGCTTCCAGTGTTGTTTTTGACAAATTCAGTGACATTTAGATACATGACATTTGTTTGAAGTCTGTTTTCTGTACAAACTTACGAGTTTTTCAAGTCCTTAGATTTCACAGTGATTTGCCTTTTTGTGTGTGTGCATTTACATTTATTTGCAGACATGGAGTGGGTACTTTTGGTCCAACACAAATCTTCATTTTAAAAAAATATTAAACTACTTATTTGAAGCTATTCTCTCCTCTCCCCACTCTCCTTTTTCTCTTTCTGGACTCTATAGATTTGTCAGTAAAATGTTTGATCTATTATTCTTTAACATCTCCCACTGGGGATGTGCCCGCAACCCAGGTACATGCCCCTGACCGGAATCGAACCTGGGACCTTTCAGTCTGCAGGCCGACGCTCTATCCACTGAGCCAAACCGGCTTTGGCTACTTTTTATTTTTCTGTAACACTTTCTAGAAGATCTTCTCAACTCTGTCTTCCAACTCTGCTCCTGAATTTTTAAATTTCTGCTGTCATATATTTTTTCTAATTTTCAAGGATTTTGTTGTTGCTAGTGTTCCCTTCTAATGGTTCCTTCTGCAGCAGCCTGTTCATGTTTCAGGGATAAAATGTCTTCTTTCACCTGCTTTTAAAATCATATGGTTTCTTTTAAAGTTTTCTTCCTGCTGCATCGTTTCCTGCAGCTTTGCGGGGTTGTTGTTTTATCCTGCTGCAATTTTTGAGAAAGGGATCTTATTCGGGGCCTCATTGTCATTCTATTTCAGAGGTTCCAATTCCTGAGTTTTGGGAGGGATTTCTGATATAAATTGTGTCCTTTCTCCGCTTTTCTTACTGTCTGCTTAGAATTCAGCTTTTTTAAGGGTCTGCTAAGTCTTTTTACACTTTTGCATTGTTTCCTTTTCTTTAGTGTGAGGTTTATGGCTTTTTATAGTATTCTTTTACTGCATGCTCTTTTATTGGAGTTTGGAGAGAACAAGGAACTTACGGTTTGCATTCTACATGTCATCCTTAATCAGATATCTCTTAAGTTCTGCTTTCACAAGCTCTGCTTTATGCTTTCTTCATTAGGTAATTATTGATAATTGGAAGAGAAAACGAGCTTTGTGATACACGTACTTTTAGTGTTTTGTTTGTTTTGTTTTGGCTGTTTCTGTTGTTGTCCATTGCCTTGCTCTGCACCCCACTAATTAGTGCTGAGATTAGTATGGCTTTACCAAAGGTTATGGTGGAAGAAGCATGCTGTGACAATTATATGGTCTATTCTTATATCAGAGAGAAAGAATCAAGAGGAATGAAAGAAAGAATGGGCTGAGGGGAAGATGTGAGTGCAAGAGACACTCCTAACTTGTGCTGTAGGAGACATTCACAAAAACTGTGTGATTCTCTCTGCCCATCCATCCCCTTTCCCACTATAAAGTTATATATTGTAGAGTTGGACACCCTGGACCACAAGGACCAAAAGGCAAAATGGGTCCTCCAGGAAGAGGAGGCTCCAAGGGAGAAAAAGGCAAGTATGCTGCAAAGGTAGCATTCCCAGAGGACAGCGGCATGTGCAGGAGTGGGAGGCACTTACGACACGTACAATGTGGCATCTCATTTAGATTTGTTACTGCCCTTACTTACCCCTGGTAAATATTCCACTTCATTATATGCTCATCATGTGATTAGATCTTTCCAAAAACTCAGCTCCTAATATTTTAGAGAATAAAGGAGAATCTTACCTGCCATGATTTTCCTCAAAGTAATATTTTTCCCACGAAATCTTGATTCCTTAAAAGAAGCAGAGAAAGGACAGTATTGATCTTTTATTTTAGTTTCCCTCTGTGGTTCCCCTATTCCCCAGAATCATCAAGTGCTTCTGGCTGTTTCTCTACCCTAACTTGTTTGGGGCCTTTTTGACCATCTGAATCAGGGGGGTATGAGAGCTGAGGAGTTTGACTATCACAAAGACACTTATTTTGAGATTGAAAGTCCTGATAATTGCATTGTAGTGAGTTACCAATTGTAATGTTCAATGCAGTCAATAATCCCTCTTCACATATTCTTTTGCTTCTTTAAATGTTCAGGGTTTATGCTGTAACCGAATTTCTGTTGTTGATTCTATAGCGGGAATCAATCAAGAGAACTTTTTTTCATAGGAACCAAATAAGAGACAAACTTTTTTAAAAAAGAAGCTTTCTTATTATTAAAGTTTCTTAATTAGAATTGGACATAAGCTTTTCCCCTAGAATTTGTCAGGATGAATTATTAAGATTGATAATACCCCATTTGTATAGAAATGATATATCCACCCCATATAGCCCATGACTACGTGCCCCCCTCCTGCCCATGCCCCACCACACATCTTATCAGTTCTGCTAAAAGAATTGTGCACATTAGACTCTCTTTATTTTCACTATTTGTTTTGTATTATAAAGACTTTATTGGGATTTTACTCAGTAATATGACAAAGCTGTCTTTTATCCTCTGTCTAGGAAATGCGGGGCTCTGTGCCTGCAAGCCTGGTCCCACAGGCTTGCCAGGTCCTCCAGGACTTCCTGGGAGGCAGGGAAGTAAGGGAGACTTGGGGCTCCCTGGGTGGCCTGGAGAAAGAGGTCACCCAGGCCTCCCTGGTGCTGAAGGATCTCCAGGGCCACCAGTGAGTAATTCTTACGAGTAACAATCTTTCTAGATAAAAGAGACAGATAGAATTCAACAGTACCTGTTTCTGTTATATTTTGTTTTGAACCTATAAATATATCAATCCCCCCAAATCATCTGTACTTATTCATTCATTCATTCATTTATTCATCCATCCATTTGATTCATATTTATTGAGCACCTACTATGTTCTAGATGCTATTGTAGGTACTGGGGTGCAGCAGAGTCCAGAACACAGTCTCTGTCCCCTGGGGGCCTCTACTCTGTTGGGAGGACATACACTATATACTAGTAACAGACTGATGCATAAATATACAGCATGGCAAGTGGCAATAAAGGCCAACCCCATCTGGTGTGGCTTGAGTGGACAGAATGAAGGGAAGAGCAGAAGGAGAGGAAGTCAAAGAAGTGGCTGGAGGATAGGAAGGTTGCTGAGCGTGGGGCTTTGTGAGTGGGTTGGATTTGAGTTTTTACTCTGGATGACACAGAACAGCCAGTATTGAGTTTTAAGAAAAGAAAGACATAATGTGACATTCATTTCCAATGGATCATCCTTGTGGCTCTGTTAAAAACAGACCACGGTGGGCAAGGGGAGAAGTAGGTAGATTGTGGCAACAATCCTGGTGAAATATAATAGAGCAGGGATTAACATGGTAGTACAGCACATGGGGGGAAGTGGTCATTTCTGGATGTATTTGAAGGCAGAGCTAACAGGTTGGCTGTTAGACTGGACATGGTACATGAGAAAAAGAGACATAAAGGATGAAGCCAAGATGGTGAAAACAATGTGAGGAGCAGGCGTGGGTTCATGAAAGGAAACAGTATCATTGGGGACATTTTACTTTTCAGATGCTTAGTGGCAACCAAGTGGAGACGCCAAGTAGGCAAGGGGGATGATATTCAAGTTGAGGATTCAAATCAGAGGTGGAGGCTGGAGATATAAATATTGGCATTGTCAGAGTTTATATGATATTTAGTGCCAGAGTGTGGATGAGGTGTATCTCAAAATGGCTCTCATTTGCTGACCATTGCAATGACTCGGGTGGAGGCATAGCCTTCCAGCTGTCCCTCAGAATAAAATCACTGCCCCCGGGACTCGCCCCTGGAGGCTGGAGACAGCTCTCCTTTCCCTCCTTGGGTGACCTGGAGCCTTAATCCTTGGGTGACCTGGAGCCTAACCATCAGCACCTGTACCCTTTCCATTTTCCCCAGGAAATCTCATGAAAATAAGGTTCCGACTAGGACCCTGAAGTGAGGGGGATGATTGAGCTGTCCCTGCACCACCCTGTTACACTGTAAAGCACACTTGCAAAGTCTATTCAACAGGAAGCTAGGTCCTTCACGCGTGTATGTGGAATGGACTTGGTGGCAATTATTAAGGACTTCGCATTTTATAGTCTGCTTTTCTAATTCAGCACTTTATTATACTCATGTTTTCGTTGCTACTTAATCTTATTTTTGAGGCTTTCTATTGTGTTGCTTCTCAGGGCTAATATCTTGGAGTGTGGATTATTAGTTCATTCAGGGTTATCCTGGCTATGGTTTATGGAATTCAGTTGCTCTAAGGACTTAAGTCTTTAAATTGGCTGAATTTTGGATGTTTTTGTTCTGTGTATGGTTCTGTCGTATAACTTCTCTGTATTAAATTCATCACTTTGTGGCCACAGTTAGGGACCAAGTCCATACTATGGGCACCATGAAAGGAAAAGAGGGAGAGAGGGACAGAAGGAAGAAGCATGAAGGAACAACAGATAATCACTGTGAGTGCTCTCACTCCTCTGTTGTTGTTGTGTGTGTGTGTGTTAATAATATGAGATTTATGGCCATCTTGAGAAATTGGCAGTTCATTAACACAGGGTCAGTGCATTCCCACCGCTGCTGGAAGCTGAGAGGTGGCTGTGCCCCTGGGAGGAGGTCTGTGTTCTCCAGTCCTCACCATGATCACCTATCTACTTCCCTCAGAAGGACATGGCCCCCTAGCCACCGCAATTGAAGTCTCTGATCCAGACCATGTATGAAACAATTAGTACATGCCTGGCAGAGAGGACATTTTTGTTGCTGCTGGGATTTTGTTGTTGTGTTAACACATGTGTTTAGTGATCTCGGGTCTTAGAATTGTGAAAAGCAGCTCTTGATCCCCAAGTGGCTGGGAACCTCTCTGGCCCAGGTATTTTTTAGATTCAACATTTGTTTCACTAGAGCAGGGGTCCTCAAACTACGGCCCGCGGGCCACATGCAAATACAAATATTGTATTTGTTCCCATTTTGTTTTTTTTTACTTCAAAATAAGATATGTGCAGTGTGCATAGGAATTTGTTCATAGTTTTTTTTAAACTATAGTCCAGCCCTCCAACGGTCTGAGGGACAGTGAACTGGCCCCCTGTTTAAAAAGTTTGAGTCTCAGTGCCATGAGGGCAGGTCAGCCTTTAATTGCTGTGTCCTCAGGACTCAGAATAATGCCTGGCTCATTGTAGGTTCTCAGTAAATGAAGTCTCTAGTGAAATCTAAAGACAGTGCTAGTAATTTTTTTCTTACTAGCTCAATTAAGACTATGATCTGATTCTAGTAATTAAAACTCTAATGCAAAACATTAGAGCAATTCACAATACATTAAGCTGCCAATGTGCTCACTGATAATCTGCCCAGACTTCCAGGGTATATCCATTCCTCCAGGGCATTTACTAAGAATGCCTGTATTCTCTTTCTGGAGAGAAACTGGTTCAAATGCTATGTGAATAGTTTTCTGTTGGTAGCCTATCTATAAAAGGACATTTTCATTATCCATCTCTTGGATTGGATACTATCCAAAAAGGTGGGGAACCTTTTTTTCTGCCAAAGGCCATTTGGATATTAATAACATAATTCAAGGGCCATACAAAATTATCAAATTAAAAATTAACCTTCTATATTTTGTCAAACATTTCATTAACCCCTAATGCCTCGGCAGGGCCAGACTAAATGATTTCACAGGCCTTAACAAAATCCCCGCATCAACAAAAATGTCCTCTCTGTCAGGCAGGTACTTATGACTTAGCATAGACAATAAAATAAGAATTTAAGCAACACTCAACCCATGTGAGCACTTTATGATTTCTAAAGTTACTTCCCTGTCCAATTTGGCTATTTCTAGTAAGGAATGTGTTCCACTCACCTTTTTGATTCTTCATAGACATCATTACACACAGGATATAGAGTGATATTCTTGGGGGTGTTGAGTGGCTGGTATGTGTGTGTAGGTATATTTTCTCTAATGAACTGGCTTCCAACCATGATATCCACTTCAGTTTTTATGCCTGTTGGGTACATTTTTGGCTTCTTTTCATTCTCACAGTTTGATACTGCCACTGTGCTCATGTCTCTGGTATCTTCTCCCCTTTATACTTCACTGTGTATAAAGTACTAAGGGCCGATTAAAGGCTTCAACATGTTGCAAGAGTGTATGAAAATAAGACAACATAGCCTGTGTGAGAGCAAAGCAGTTGGTCTAATCAGTCATTTTGCCTCCTTTCAAATTCTTGTCTATGTTTATTATTATTATTATTACCAGATAAGTAACCTTCAGGTATGTTTAGTGTTTCTATAACTGTATTTACTAGAATGCTTAGCCACTCCAATATACCAACAGTAGGTTCTAGTTTTTTGACATGGCTTGCAATTTAATACAGGTAACACTTAAAAAACATGACCCAAATACTCTAGTCTCAGAGCAATTGATGTCAAAAGATGATGACCCCATCAGCCAGAATTAGTTTTTTACTTGCTATACAGAGAAAATATATTGTTAGCGAAGGTTCTTATTTTTCCTTCTCTTGCTCATTAACTTCCTTCAATATCAGTCTCTTTAATCACAAACTCACCTCTAAACCTGTGCTTTTAGCTATAGTGCCAGCTGCTCTGGTTAATCTACCCCTCTCCTTTCAATTCTACATTACAAAGCCCAGGATAGTTTTAAAAGTTTTTTTTTTAATTATACATTTTTTTTGAAATAAAGTTTTACATACACGAAGTTACACAATCATACAGAGAATTCCCATGTACCCTTCCCTGAGCTTCCCCCAATGAGATCTTACATATCCCTTGTGCATTGTCAAAACCAGGAAACTGTAACAAATTGCTATTGACTTGGGTACAGACCTTGTTCAGATCTACCAGCTTTTACATGCAGTTTGAGAACCTCAATTTTGTAAGGTAGGACCCACCTCATAAGGCAAGGAAGAGAATGAGACCAAGTGTGCCAATCTAGAATCCAGAACAGGTGATTAGAGGGAAAGAAGAGAGAGATTCGATATACACGAATGTGAATGATCTTTGACCCCTCACAATTAAACTGATCTGTTGCTATTATTTTTCACCAAGGGAAAAGCTGGTGCCCCAGGACCACCTGGCAACAGAGGAGAAAAGGGAGACATGGTTGTATCAAGAGTTAAAGGTGAGCCTAGTTGATCACTTAACTGCCATCTTCTGAATTAAATATGAACCATCCTCTTGCAGTAATTTCCCCTGTGACCACAGCTTGATTCTATAACCAGACTTAGGATTATTGAGATTTCTTAAAAAATACTCTCTGTCCTTTACTAAGTCATGTGAATGTTGAATTTCAAATCCTCTGTCTCTTATTTGACAACATAGTGCTCCTTTAGTCATGTTTTCAACTCTTTATTGTTGTGAACTTGGGTTTGAAACAAGCCCTCCTTTAACGTGCCTAGTGTTTATTCACTGCATTGTATTATCCTGTATTAATCAAGAGTATTTTGGCTGTAAGTGACAGACATCCAGCTTGAAACACTTTAAGAAGAAAAAGTGATTTATTGGTATCCTACCTGGTTTGGCTCAGTGGATAGAGTGTTGGCCTGCGAACTGAAGGGTTCCAGGTTTGATTCTGGTCAAGGGCATATGCCCAGGTTGTGGGCTCCACTCCCAGTAGGGGGCATGCAGGAGGCATCCAATCAATGATTCTCTCACATCATTGATGTTTCTATCTCTCTCTTCCCTCTCCCTTCTTTTCTGCAATCAATAAAAATATATTTTTTAAAAAAGTAATTTATTGGCTAATTACACAAAATTTGAAGGTTAGATGTAGGGTTTGCATAAGACAACTGCATAGGAGACTCTTCCTCCTGCATCTTGATATTTAATGAAATATGTTATTTGCACTTTCCCCCCAAGATTAGCTTTCTCTAGGCTATGGGTACATGTCCCAGGCAGCTCCAAGTTCTTACAACCAGATATAAAAGAGAGCTCTACCTTCTCCACTCTAGTTAGAAGAAAAAAAAATCAGGAAGGATTGGACTGGCCTGGAGCAAGTGTCCATGGATCATCTCCCCGTTCATGATGGCCAGGAGATAGAGGACCTTGTTTGACATCACACAAGCAGGGGAAGATGCTGCTATGATTGGCATCCCCATTCAGTACCTCCTTGTCAGAATGGGAAGAGGGATGTTTCCCAAATAGAAGATTCAAGGGGTTGGCAATTGTCATTCTCCCCCCTGACTTTTGCACAGTTGATTTTGTGTGACTTAGTCAACTGGGACACTCCGAGGGATCTCTACTAGCTCACAGAGAGCCAAGGTCAAGCCTTTATCTTTAGTCCCAAGTCTTCCTCTACTTCACCCACTTCTGATAAGAGCTTGAATATCTTCATGGCTTTTGTTCCCAGGGCGCAAAGGAGAAAGAGGTCCTGATGGGCCCCCAGGATTTCCAGGGCAGCGGGGACAAGATGGTTGGGATGGACATGCTGGAGCAATCGGGGATCCAGGACCCCCAGTATGTACAATTATTCTGCTATAGAATTTCACTTTCTTACATGGGCACAATACATCTGTTTTCCTCTTCTCAACTTAGAAAGCTATGACTCAGTCAAATATTAGTATGCTGGAAATCAAAGACACCTTTGATTCATTCCCACAAAAAGATGATTGTTCTAAAAGGTATGGATGGCATCATTACAGATGGTCTAACATCTTGAGTGACATTTCAGTCATAACAAGACTTTCTGTCTCTATGTGTCGTTATTATGGTGGTTTTCCCCTTTGTACCTTCAGAGCCCCTACTTATTTGAGACCTGTTCAGATGACTGTCAGGTGAAGGATAAAGCACAGGTCTTGAAAATTATCTTGAGTTCTGTCCCCTCATGAAGTAGCAAGCAAAGAAGGATAAACTAGTGCAAATCTACTGAACTAGTGTATTGGCTGATGGAAAATCCATTGATAAATTATATTTCTGCATTTTTCAACCATGTTTTAGATGGAGGCCATGTGTAGGTAATGAAATTCATGAGAAAAGACTGTAAGATATGTTTCAATGCTTTGGAATTTAAAATATATTGGGTATATGAGGTATTTTTAATGCTTACAGTGTCACAGAAAGTGTGCTAGATGTTTACTCATAATAGTAGTCTTCTGAAGAGCAATTTTCTCTCCAGTTTTATAGTAAGGAAATGGAGGTTTAGGGTATGTTACTAAGGATATCTGTCTATCAGATAGACTAAATAAGAATGAAAAGTCCAGTCTGCCTTATTCCAAAGCATGTGTGACTTAATTGGGACACTTCCACCAGACTATGTTGTAATAGAGAAGAACCATGTTCTGATTTTATAGGAGCTCATACAGAAAGAACACATTTGAATAAGAGACAGAAGCTTAGAAATCAGGTTAGATAATGTTTCTAGCTTTCTGGTCTTTCAGCTGCTTTCAAGTATGTGAATAAACTCTACTCTAGATTTGATAGTCCCTATTTAATTCGTTCTTCCACTTGAGAAACTGTTTAGAATCTGTGTCACTGAGTGGCAATTTTCATCGTGTACACTAACCTACTTGTGTAAAATCAAAGCATATTTACAGATAAATGGGAGAGGAATTTATATAACAGCCACTGGGGGGGGAGGGTTGGCATGGGGAGTGGGTGTGGTGGTCTTCCTAGCTTAATTAAAACAATTCAGACTCACAGCACTATTATATATCATATTTGAGACCAGACTATTCAGAAGGATAGAAGACAGGGCCATCAACTTGCCAGTAGGACAGGGTCAGGCATTCCTTGTGAGTGAGAATCCTTGCAGCTGGGCATTCGGTTGGGGTGAAGGAGATGAGCCACATGTGGCAGATGTGTGAGCAGCCCTGACTTGAGGGCTTCATTCTCCGTGAGAGCTGTTATCTCCACAGCACAGCTTGCGGGGACCCCACAAGGAACTTGGCAGTACCAGGAGCCACCACTCAAGGTCTTTCCAGTTCTTCCAGACCAGATGCAAATGTTGCAACCTGGCTTTGATGTTACCATAAGTAAGATTGCCTAGTAATGTGGCTGACATGCAATTTTTATGGAGTTTCCAGAGAAACAGAACTAGACGGTTACCAAAGGTCAAATTCTAATGCAGGAGGGGAAAGGATTGGTCAGCCTTTGTCCACAGACATGGAGGGTGATGGAGACTATCCTTGTGTCTTCTCATAAGAGTGCAGGAAAACTATTTCCAATGTATAAGAACTTACCCAATTCGCAAGTCTACTACCTCCATGAATTTACTTATTTCTGTATTTTATTATACTTAAAATAAAGAATGGTTCCATATAAAATTTCTTATTCTGTTTTTAAATGTCACAACCACATAACTCTTTGTATTTGAGGCATAAGACACCCCCCCCAATCACATGTATATGTAAATATGTATATAAACTATTAAGAGGAATCTAAGTTAATCAATTTAAATTCTATTTGCTATTGAGTCCCTTTCTCCTGGAATTGTGAGCTTTCTGCATGTGTTTCATTAGCCTATGACAATGACTGCTTTGAGTTCATGGTTTGGTAATTGATTCATGATGCGAACATTCCCAGGGGGATCATGAAGATGCAGGCCCAGGTGATCAAGGAGTTCCTGGACTGCCAGGCCCTCCTGGCAGAGAAGGACCAAGGGGGCCTCCAGGACTGGGATTTCCTGGTCCACCAGGACAAAGGGGGCAACCAGGAGCCCCAGGCCACCCAGGCGAGAGGGGCCCTGTTGGTGTGAAGGGTCGAAAAGGTAATTTTGAACACTTTGTGTGACAGTGTCAAGTGAAATCACAGATGGGAAAGTGGGCCTCTCTTCTGGGTAAAGTTATAGCTATGGCAGAACCGCTGAATAAAATTCCATCAAGCCACTGTTCAGATCTTGAATAGTGTCAAACAAATAAAAGCATTACAGCACAATCAATATTTAAAACAAATTCTTAAAATGCCTTTGTTGCTTTGTTTGGCATATGAAAGTTGCCTTTCATGCATTTCTCAGTATCAGCTTATACAGTCTGACCATATTCAAATGACATGTATTCAAAAATATCGATTTTTATAATATTTTTAGATAAGGCAGTATATTTTAATAAAAAAACACTAGTGTTTCATTAAAAAAAAACACATCATATTGTCCCTGGAAACCCATTTGTAAGCATCCAGGAAGAAAAAAGAAAGGATTTTAAATATATCTGACTGTTTTGTAAATTTCAAATAATAAAATGATCTGCAGTCTGATAGCTGGAAACTTTTTAAAAGGTTGGAAGATATTTAAGATTTTTTTTTCTTTTGTAATATGTACATATACATTGGGTTACACTGTTAAGTGTGAAATTTCAGAAGAAACTAATATCTTTGGTTCTTGATTTGACAACATAGAAAGGCAAATACCTTGGAATTCAATAAGGTTTAAAATCATGGTCTGGGGCCCATCAGAATAGAACATTATTTGTATTCATCTCATGTGTTTTTGAGTTGAGAGCATGTGAACTGATACATTATGAGATAGTATTTCTATGATAAAAGAGGAGCATCCCATTTTAAGGGAGACCGGAACTCAGAGGCACAAGCTTGGAGCCTTATTTTCCTCACTGATTAAAATGGGGGATGACAATAACCACATTGCAAGGTCTTTAGGAAAACAAGAGACCACCTATTTATAGCACCTGACCCACAGCAGCCCTCAGGACATGGTAGCTGTTGCTAATATCCTGCCCAGTAGCTGTATTTGCACAATCCCCCCACATCCAAAGTAGGAGCCAAATCTTCTGAACTTAGCATGGGTACTGGCTGCGATTTCATGATTCACAAAGCTTCTGATTTCATGGTATTCGACATCTATGGGCCTATAAATCCAATATTTATTCTGTGTTATTAAAAAGGATCCTTCTTGGACTCAATATTTTGTTAGTTCCCCTATTTTTATAACTGTTTAGATTTGAGGACAGGTTTGCTAGAATTTGAAATAAAAGTAGTTCAAGTGAACTATGATACTTTTGTGGCTTTTCCTTTGAATTCTACATATACTCTATGAAAAATATATTGATCAAATTGTCATTGAGATTTACCGTGTCTTGGCCTATCAACTATGTGAATACCACTTTTTTCCCCCCCAGGTGATACAATTTCTTGTAATGTCAGCTACCCTGGGAGGCCAGGCCCTCCAGGTTTGGATGGACCTCCAGGTATGATCAATGAGATGTTACTGTCCTACACATTCTCCAGAATAAAAGACCTGGCAAGGTAGATAAACCAAAAGCAAACCCACAGGCAAATAAGGTATTTCTAAATTATTCTAAGGATTTGAGGGTCTATGGGAAAACGGCATTTGTAGTCATTTCACATTGGGTCTCCAGTCTGCTGGTCTGGGCACATGGCAGGTGGGTTTTTCATATCTCTGTGCAACAGAATTTACCTTGATTTGATCACATACCAGTTAAAATGTTTGCCCTTTGAGAGTATTAAAATGTTGTCTTCTTTCTTATCCTGTGTCCCAAGAGTCAAAAATGATCATTCACTTACTGATTATAAGTGTTATTCTATTCTGCTTTATAAGAAACACCAGTTTGACCAGAAGGAGTGTGAATAATGCACATACCTACACCCGTGATTGCACTTTCATGAAACCCTTCATTTGAATCAGTTGCTTCTTTATAGCTAAATCAGACCCTAAATCTATATAAATGCCTAATTCTTTTATTTATTCCGAATTCACTTAAATTGATCCATTGAGCACTAGCATAGCAAAAGGTAACCTTTCTTGTCCTACATAACAAAAGGTATTTAAAGGTTGAATGATGAATGACTCTCTATTGCTCTCTATAGCCAATAGCTTTTGTCAGAATAGTTTGTGTAACAACCTCAAAATCTAGTGGGCTACAACAATATTTATTTTCTCTGTTATGGGTGTGCAGGTGGGTGGGGCTCAGCAGATCTGAGATGCTGTCTATTGGCTTAGTCCTGGCTCTAGTCCAGGTTCAGGTCTGTGACATCAGGTCACTGTGGGGCCAGCATGTGCTCGTCTTGTGTGATTACAGAAATGCAAGAGGGCAGCCCAGCTTTACAGGCAGAGGTCACTCTCTCATTGCTCCATGGTTGTTAATATCCTATTGGCCAAAGCAAGTCACAGGACCATGGCCCAGATCAAAGCAAGGAAATGACACTCCACCCTGCACAAGGCAAGGGCCAGGGTGGGGAAGTATAACTGCATCAGTGGAGAGAAGCATTGCCAGTTGACTGATTGAAAATTCATTTCCACATTTACTGATGCCTTGTCATAGATGGATTTAAAAAGTTAATGATTACTCTCAGCAGCTTTCATCTCAAGGGAAGTGAACACTCAAACTTGTTCATGATTTGAAGGTTATTTTAGCTGAGGTATCTCATAGTAGGAAATCACAAGAGGTTCAAAAAAAAAACAAAAACACACCCCTCAGTTCCTTTTGCAGTGCTTTTGGCTTATACTTTATTCCAGGGCAAATGCAGTAAGATGCAGGGAATAGATTTGGCCTTTACTCTGGTTGTCTTCTCATCAGGCCACACACGGGCCACCACCTGTCCTCCCCAAGGACAGATGTGCTAGAATATTTGTATTTGAGACCCAGCAGGGGAAGGTACCAAAAGGTTCATCTGTAGGGTGGTGCTCGTCCCAAAGGCTTTCAGAAGAATCCTTCACAGTTCGGCCTCTGAGAATGAACCTTAGCACAATCTCTGCCTGCGAAATACTTGTTCAGAGCAGGTGACTTGTAAAACAGTTATGTAACCCAGCCTAGTCCACATCTTCACTGCCATCAAGTAGAAATCTCCTTAGTTTGTTCTCACGTGATGTGCATCTTATGAAGTCCATGTTTCTTTATTATCATTTAGGTCCAAAAGGATTTCCAGGTCCTCCAGGTGCTCCTGGGCTGAGGTGTTTTGATGGGCAAAAAGGTCGGCCTGGCAAACCAGGAATATCAAAAATACCTGGTCCACCTGGTAAGGGAAGTGCTTTTCCTGAGGAATGTCATGCATGTACTTCCAAAACTAGACGATCTTAGGAAGGAAATGGCCCCGAGATCCCCAGATGAGGGGGACATAGTTTTTGTTGACACATTGAGCCCTTCACTGTGTTTCATTAACTTTTAGGTTATGATAGTTTTGTGGGTTCTCAGGGCTTCTCTCACTTGAAGCAGGAGTGATAGGTCGTTACTGGTCTATTATATTATGAAAACTGCTCAGTCCAGAAAGACAGTTTGCCAGAGAATGCAAGCAATTGGGGAGACATCATGGGCTTTTAGGAATTACAAAATCACAATAAATTTCCCTGCTAAAGGTGGTAAAAACAATACCTATTAAATAAATACCTTTGCATGTTTTAGAAATGTGTTTTCATCAAAGCAGTAGATGATATGTGCATGGGTTCTACGTTTTTACATTTGACAGTTGAAACCATTTTTTGTCCAATAGGTCTCCGTGGTGACACAGGCGACCCAGGTTTTGAAGGTGAAAAGGGCTCTTCTCCCATCGGGCCCCCAGGCTCTCCTGGTTCACCCGGAGCCAGTGGTCAGAAAGGAATCCCCGGAGACCCTGCGTATGGCCACCCAGGGCCCCCGGGAAAGAGGGGTCCCTCAGGAATGGCAGGGTTGAAAGGCCTCAGAGGCCACCCAGGACATCCGGGGCCTGCAGGTACGAGGCTGCTCTGTCCCTGTGTCTATACCTCCAGCTCAGTTCTGGAACCAGTCACGGAAGAGCAATTAGATGATCTTGACTTAGAAATCGGGAATATAAAAATGTCACCTAAGCATCTTCCCTCCTATGTGGGCATCGGTTATATTTCATTTGTTGCTTTTGCATTTTATCGGTTGTTTTCAAACCCAGAGCAGCTCACTGTGGCTCAGTCAACCCAGTTAGATTCAGCAGCTACTGGACTCTACCTGCTCTGGACTACGGGCAGCGCCAAGGAATAGGGGCTGTGTGGCCTGCCTGCTGCCAGTGCCGGGTTGAAGGAGAACAGGACAGACTGAACGAGGGAGGAGGGAGAGCAGCTCAGGGGAGGAGCAGTGTGAGTGGGAGTCTGGGAAGGCTCCTGGGAGAGCTGGGGCCCAGCCGAGCCCTGGCAGACCAGACTAACAAACACTGCTCTGGTCGAGCCAGCATGTGTTAGGTGGGAGGGCAGGGGAGTAAGCACATTCTGTGTCCTCAGAGAGCTCACTTGGTAGTTTGTAAGTCAAAATACTCATATATAAAAATCCAATCAACTGGAAAGTAACAACATATTATATGAGTCAATGAAAACAATTTTGCCTTGATAATCCCACTATCTCACTTGCGAAAATGTATCTCAGGCAGTGTTCAGCAGAATATGAAGGTTAGTATGAAAATACTCTTATATGGTTGATCCTCGAACAATGCTGGGGTTAGGGACACTGAACCCCCGCCACACACACACACACACACACACACACACACACACACACACACACACTTGTGTAGTCAAAAATTCACATGTAACCTTTGACGCTCCCAAACTTAACTACTAATAACCTACTCTTGACTGGAAGCCTTATTGATAACATAAATAATCAGTTAACACAGATTTTATATCTTGCATGTATTTATGTATTATATACTATATTCTTACAACAAAGTAAGCTGGAGAAAAGAAGATGCTACTAAGAAAATAATAAGGAAGAGAAAATACACTTATAGTACTTATTGAAATAAAATGTGTTTGTAAACTGACCTGGATAATTCAAACCTGAGTTGTTCAAGGGTCATCTGTAGTAGTATTCACAATAGAGAGTTAAGTAGCATAGACACACACACACACACACTCAAAAGAAGAAATATTATTACCTATTAGCATTAGCAATTAAATTATATTTGTAAAGATTACAACAAAATGGAAAACATTTACAGATTAATATGCAATGTGAAATAATCTAACAATTGACTGTGCACTGTGACTACTACTTTAAAAATGTAAACATCTGAACAGAAAATGTAAAGAAAACATGGAAAAATAAATTAGGTTTTTTTGGTTGGGCTGTGGAATTATAGGGGGTTTGTTTTTCTCTCTGAAGATATTGGCACTGCCTTTTCAATAAATAGAAATTTGAGAGTTCAAGTGATGAAATATGTTACGAAATGCAAATGGTTACAGTGCAAATTGGGTTTGTAAGTATTGTGGAGTTTTGGTGTGAAGCCTGCTGCAATGTTAGAGGTTAATTAAAATCAGGAAGAATCCCATAGTTTTTCAATTTGCATAAACAACTTCTTTGTCATCTATATAATAGTATCAAGTAACTCTTTTAACCATGCACAGTTTTCCACTCCTTTGGAGCTCATGTTCTATGAAAAGAAAATCCATTCAGAGACTTAACTCATTTGAGCACAGAGCCAGGATCAAAACGCTGGCTTCCGGTACTGATGGGCCCGAACTCTGGTAGGCCATCTATGTCATTTTATGCCATGAGTGTCACAGATGGATTGTACCATTCCAGGGCCAGCTGGCATGCCCGGAATCCCGGGTCTCAAAGGCCCGAAAGGCAGAGAGGGAAGTGCTGGGTTTCCAGGTGTCCCCGGTACACCTGGCCAGTCCTGTGAAAGAGGCGCTCCCGGATCACCAGGGCAACCAGGACTCCCCGGGGCTCCAGGCAGTCCAGGTAAGTGTCAGCAGGTGTCAAGGACTGTGAAGGGCCTGGGGCTTTATCTGGCTTACAAAGGACTATGCTTGCTGTTGCTCTTTCACGGACACTGGAAGAAGCAAGCCTCCTGGGTAAGAGAGGAAGAGCTTCCTTATTCAGGGCACAGAAAGTAGCATGAGCTTCCTGTTGGTTTGTGTCATTTCCCCACCTCACCCAAGTCTCTCTGCAGCGACATAGACATAAGAGGTGCTAGATAGGTGCCGTGCACACAACTGGTTGTAGTACCTGAGAGGAGCTCTGGGCCTGGGGAACCACTAGTTGACATGCCTGTAAAGCAACCTGCTTTCTGCACCAGGGGAGGTGCTATATCAGCATCAAGGTTGCTCGCTGCAAACATAACCTTGAGAAGTAACCCAGGTAAAGAGCAGTCAGGACCTTGTGCCCATGGCATACCCGCCCAGCAAGACCTGTAGGAACTGGAAGAGACTGGAGAAAGAGTGATTCTCAACACAAGGTTCTAGGCTAGGGGCTATCTCCAATATGATCTTCATTTCACCATTCAGATTGCCACCTGTTATGTAAATCCTATTGTGTTTATCCAAATGCAGGAATGTGCCCTCTCATAGGATCAACATGAGTTTGAGGCAAAACCTGCTGCTATCGCTTTATTTCTAGCATCAGTAATAGCAGATGATGTTGCTCTGATTTCTACAATTCTCTCATCACAGTTAACATCCTGATCAAAACTCACTGGGTCATAGCTTCTGGAAGGACCTGGGAAGTTATCTACCCCCAAGACTAAATACAGATTACAGTTTGGTTTTTAGCCCCTATCCATTTCCCATACAAAACTTTTTATAATATTCACTCACGCTCCTTACTGGGGACTCTTTCTTCAAGTAATAAATATTTGAAATATTTTATCCTTCTTTTTATAACAGCCAGAAAAAAAACATAATTGAAGAATGATGGAGAGTTGCTAGTTTTATTTTAGCTGATAAACATTATTTCCCTTTTGTTTCCTTGGCCATAGATACGCAATTTAAGCCAACATGACTATTTTTTTCTGTCTGTGTGTGAAGCCACTTTCCAGTCGTCCTACATTGTGGTCTCTGTGCTTTGTCTCAGGTGCCCCCGGTTGGAAAGGACAGCGAGGAGATATGGGGCCTCCTGGACCAGCTGGGATGAAGGGCCTCCCAGGAGACCCGGGAAGGCCAGGGACAGCTGGACCCCGAGGACCTCCAGGAATCCCAGGCCCCTTTGGGGATGATGGGCTACCTGGTCTTCCAGGCCCCAATGGTGGGTAGCACTTCTTAATTATTTTCCTCATTTTATAAACGTGAAACCCACTGCTAAGTAAAGCCTGTTAGATGTGACCACGCTCATATAACAGAACAATCTGTTATATGAGCCTGATTTTGTCCTGCCCTTGGAGACATCTCCCTTCTTCTTGTCCTCTGTATTGATATTTCCAGTAGCAGGATGTTTGGGTAGATGGGGTGTGAGGGCCACAGAATTCATAAACCCAGTTCTGCTCAATGAACTGGGTAGAACTGGTAAATTGTAGGGTCAGGGCTAATGTGCTTCTATGTTGGATGGATCCTCCTCTCTCCAGTCCCGTCCCTCACACATTTATCTGAAACCATTCTGGGATCATGTGTCAAGGTTGTTCACTGCAAACATAACCTTGAGAAGCAGCCCAAGTAAAGAGCAGTCAGGACCTTGTGTCCTTGGCATACCCACCCAGCAAGACCTGTAGGAAGGCCTAAACTTGAGATCTGGTGTGGGAGAGCCTGATCATGGCTGCTCACCTTCAATGCAAACTCAGAGTCAGGTGGGAGTGTGCATCGGATGGACATTGGGAATGCAGATCTAGGAACCACATTAGCCTTTGCAACGTTTTCTTAAACATTCATGCTTTTATTTCATCAGGACCTCAGGGGCTGCCTGGCATGCCAGGTTTTCCGGGAGAGAGAGGGAAGCCTGGCCCCGAGGGACACCCTGGCAGAAAGGGCGAAGTCGGAGAGAAGGGCTGGCCTGGCTCCCTGGGAGACCAAGGAGCGAAGGGTGCCAAAGGTAAATGCAGTGAACAGCACAGGCATGCAACACGGGTTTGCTTTTGCTGTCTGATCACAACCCATGAATATGACCTCTGAAAAACAAAACGGGACTCTCCTGCAGCTTGGATTCCCCCTCTTCCTCTTGATTCTGTGGTGCTGGTTTTATTTATTTATTTATTTTTGTGGTGCTGGTTTTAGAATTTCAAACAAAATTCATTTCCCTTCCCTCTTAATCTTATTACATAAAACTCCAGTAAATGAATTGCTCTGTTAATAGAAGAAAATGAACAAGTGCTTTGATTTAGAGCTATTGGGTTTCAGAGAACCATCTCATCTTTTTAGTTTTTTAAATTTTTTATTGTTTAAAGTATTACATAAGTCTCCTTTTCCCCCCATTGACCTCTCCCCAACTGCACCCCACCCCCGCCCAGAACATGTCCTCACATACACACATACACACACCCCAGTCTGTGTCCATTGGTTATGCTCATATGCATGCATACAAGTCCTTTGGTTGATCTCCTACCCCCTCACCCACCACCTTCCCTCATAGGTTGGACAGTCTGTTCGATGCTTCTATGACTCTGGATCTGTTTTTATTCATCAGTTTATGTTGTTCGTTATATTCCACAAATGAGTGAGATCATGTGATTTATCTTTCTTTTTTAATTTTTTGAGGAAACTCCATGCTGTTCTCCACAGTGGTTGCCCCAGTCTGCATTCCCACCAGCAGTGTAAGAGGGTTCCTTTTTCTCTCCATCCTCTCCAGCACTTGTCGTTTGTTGACTTGATGATAGCCATTCTGGCAGGTGTGAGATGGTACCTCATTCTTGTTTTGATTTGTATCTCTCAGATGATTAGTGACTTTGAGCATGTTTTCATATGTTTCTGGCCTTCTGTATGTCCCCTTTAGAAAAGTGTCTATTTAGTCCTTTGCCCATTTTTTGATCAGGTTGTTTAGCTTCCTTTTGTTAAGTTATAAATGTTGGAGATTAAACCCTTATCAGAGCCTTTTAAGAAAGGGGTGCAGGCAGGCTCTTGGCTCCCAGATTCTGTTTCAATTATTTTATAAATAAAATAACCTTTTTTTGTAAAGAGCCAGATATATATTTTAGGTTTTGCAGGCAGTATGGTCTCTGTTGCAACTCTTCAACTCAGCTTTTGAGGCATGAAAGCAGCCAGAGACAACACGTAAAAAACGAACGATCTGTGTTCAAATGAAACTTTATTTATGGAAATGGAAAGTTGAACTTCACTTAAGTTTCACATGGCATAAAACGTTATTCTTGTTTTGGAGTTTTTCTTCCAATGGTAAACACTGACCATGGCTCATGGATTGTATAAAAACTGGCAGCAGGCCGGGTGAGGCCCTGGGGCTGGAGTTTGTAGCCTTGAAATGGAAGCAGTTCACTTTCATCTGGTTCTGAGTTAGTCTCCCCCGAATTTCATTAAAAGTAAGAGTTTTCAATACAAAAATATTGAATGTCAACTGTAATTGAAAAATAAAAGTTTTTATTGGTATAAAAATAAAAACTTTGAGATCACTGGTTTAAATGCTCCCATCCATGTTAAATATTTACTTCCACCTCTGAGCCTTGAGTCTGCAGAGAGAGAAGGTACCATTTCATTTCCAGTGATGGGAATGAATACTTGTCAATTTTCAGCGATGAGGTAAACATCTTAAAGCCCTTTGGGCAAATAGCCTCATAGTTCATTCAAAAATTACTTTTACTTCTCAGTTGATTGAATCTGCTATTATTTTGTTTTATTAGCTTGTAAATTATTTATGTAGAATCAGGGAATCAGAGTCAGTCTTTGCTAGCTGAGATTGAGTGGCGTTTGCTGTGCTGTCATGCTACACAATTATCCCACTAAAAAAGTAAACAGTTACGTGAATGCTAGTGATGTGCTGATAAACTGGCTCTCCAGACTAAAATTGGAAACAAGTGCCATGACTTGTAGTGATTGCTGATCTCATGGCATAAATACTCCCGCTGTGGCATAAATAGTCCCAGCCTGGCTGGTTTAAAGCTTCCAAAATTCTTGAATTGTTAATAATCGGTTCTCACCAAGCTGGTAGGAGCCCACTCTGATGCACTTTACAAATGGACAGTGTTTATGAAAATCAGGCAGATATATCATTTTCCCTTCCCACTTTTTGGAATTCTCTATGTAGAGAACCACATTAAGATAAGTGTCTGTTCTTTTAATGTGAAAGAAATAATAGAGGGTGGCTAGGAAGGGGAAGATAGGGAACTGGAAAATATGAGATCGGCAATTCACAGTTTATAGGATTAAGAGCCATATTTTAGACCTGGAACTTTGCAAGCCTGTCTTTTTTTCACTGAAGACAGACCAGCCTGGTTGAATTCAGCAAACCCTCACTGAGCACTCATTGTCCACCAGACCCTGTGACTGGACCCGTTGGGAGACAAATATAAAAGGCATGGCCAGTCCTTCAGGAAATCAACCAACATGTTGCTCCTGTGCAATCCGTAAACATGAATACAGTTTAGTAGATTAAGTGGGGATTTGCAAACTGGACGTGAAGTGACAACGGAGGCCTCACGTGTGTGGTGCTTGTTTGTTTTGCTCTTGCATATTTAATATCCAAAGGAGAGAGAGGACGCCCAGGAGATGAAGGAGAAATGGCTATAATTTCCAAGAAGGGGGAAACCGGCGAGCCTGGACCTCCTGGAGATAACGGATTCCCAGGAGGAGAAGGTAAATATTGATGTTTTTGAACCATATCAAATAAGTTAGCTTCGCAGATCGCTCAAGCAAGCATGTGTATTAGGCAACTTTCCCAGTAACACTGAGACTAGAAAAGGTTGTTTTTTAGACAAACATGTGCACTAGTGAATTTAATGGTTTTTATTTTCTATGCTAGAACTTAGCTGAAGTTCATATACATTTATAGGTTTGGATGTTCCAAAGTAGGATCAATCCTGAGATACACATACCATATTGTGCCAGGGTTAAAGTACCCCTATTTTTGGTGGCTAGTATTAAAATGAAGAGTACAGAGATGGTCCAAGTCATTTTGACTAGCGCTTCTCAAATTTTAATGTTCATATGAATCCTCTGGGACGCTTTTATAAGAGGTGCATTTTGAATCAGCAGGGCTGGGCCGACCCTGCCTTTCTAACCAGCACCCCCTGCCCCGTGCTGCTGGCCTCAGAACCAGCACGCAGCGAGGATCTTGACCTCCACATTTGGGTTCTCTTTCCCAAGTTCAGACTTAATCTGCATGAGACCTGAGTTCTTGCCTTGGCTCTCGCCCTTAACTAGTTGTTAGGGATAAATGTTTGAACTTCTCTGAGTGAGTTCTTCGTTTGTAAAATGAGCTTGTTGGCACAAATAATCCTGTGCACTGGCTCCTACCTGGGACAACCTTGAGGCTGTTCCTGGGCAGCGTTTTTCACAGGCAGGGCGCTGAAACCAGAAACCATCATGTTGTGATTTAGGGCAGGAATTAGGATTCTCAATCCCTTTGGCTTTATCTCCTAAAAGTAGGACCAAGACCCTCAGCCTAGTCCAAGAATTCCTCTAAATTGGTTCTAACATTTCTAACCCCACCAGGTGATAAAGGCCCTCCTGGGATACCAGGGAGAAGAGGGGAGCCAGGAAGACACGGGCCACCTGGGCTTCACAGAGGAGAGCCGGGTAGAGATGGGCAGCCGGGGCCTCCTGGACCCCCAGGCCCTCCGGGCTCACCAGGGCTCAGAGGGATCATTGGTTTTCCGGGATTTCCAGGTGATGAGGTAAGTGGCTGCTGTTTCGGGAGGGAAGAAATAATAAAACCTTCTGCTCTCAGGGTGCCAATGAGTCATAGTTTGCCAGTGGACATCATAGCCCTTTCACTGGCTTTCAGAATTCAGGGTTTGGCCAAGGGAAGAATAGAGACTTCCAGAAGGCCATGATGTAACTATGGTTTCTGACCAGTGCCTGCTTCCCATGACATAGGTGACCAAGTCACTTACTCCACCTACTATCCCTGGCATAGTTATAACAGCCCCATAGAAACTCACCTCATAATTGCTGGTGTACTAAAGAGTCACCTGAGAAGTGATTGCATCTACAATTGCAGATATTATAGGTTTTGCTGTAAATACAGTGACTTGGTCCTTATAATTATGAGTAAAACACCCCGTGAGAAGCCAGGAGGTACAATAAGTGTAATGGCCTACATCACAACTCCAAAATGTATAATCCATTACCCATCTCTGGGAATAAAATAGACTTTTTAAAGTTTTGGGTATGAAGTGATTTCTATTTATATTTTATTTAGTGTCAACTTGTTCATTTAAAACTTAAAACTCAAGTTATGTGATGCAGTTACTGTTTTGCAATCAAGTATAGAGAATTGAATGCTATTGGTACTGATACCTCCAATTCTGGAGGAGTTTTATCAACTTTTGAAAACTAGATACATGTAGTAGTATGCTTATAATGCATTTCCAAATTTCTTTGCCACTGCAAATTATAAACACCGAATTGGTTATAGAAAATTATAGCTGGATCATGTCATGCTGGTGTCATTTGTGTGTGAACCCCAATTAAGGTTTTACTTCTGTTTCATTAATCTATCAGGGTGATCCGGGTTTTCCAGGGCCCCCCGGACATTCAGGAATTGATGGAATGAGAGGACCTAAAGGTATGGTTTGGAAATACAGCAGCCAGCCATTAATCTCATAGTGCTGGGTGTTTGTAACATTGGGAGCAAGTACTTTTGCATGAAAAGCAACACACAGTCAAACGAACTGCAACACCCAGGAGTTCTTTTTAGACTCTTCTAGGTAGTCAAACACTCAAAACCCAAGCCATCCACATTTGTCATCCAGACCGGAGAGTATCAGATAGAAAGCAGCAAGCCTGCAGGGCACACCAGGCTTCCCCCTCAGGGGAGTCCTTGCAGCTGTCCTTGCAGTGACCGTATCTCTATGAGTGACAGCGCAAGTGCAAGGAGACCAGATCCACACGGTGCCCACTGTACCCTTGGCTGAGAAGCCCAGTGCCCCTTTAAGGCCTCCACAGGTACAGCTTTTAGAGTCTCAGTTACAAGAGCCACAGTACACAAAGGCCAAAGCCATGACTTCCCATCAGCTGTTAATAGTTCACTTAAGAATTCCTGGGCCACATGTAATGTACAATTGGGTTATGTTTTACCATAAGCCAAGGGTCAGCAAATACATATTTTTCAAAGGGTCAGGTAATAACTATTTTCAGTTTGTGGTCTCTGTCACAACTGCTTGATTGTGAATAAAAGCAGCCATAGACAATACACAGGGTCATGGCTAAGTGCCAATAAAACTTTATTTACAATACAAGGTACAGGCCTTAGTTCACCGTGTGCCTTGTAACACAATCTACATTCTACTTTTATCATGTTTCCAGGAAACAGAAATAGAAAGTTGACCCAATGTCAAAAATGTCCTTAGAGAGAGAATTCATTAACCCTTTCTCCGTAGAAACAAGCAAATAATCAGAAATCAGGCTATCTTACATTGCAATGTTTGTATAAAACCTTTAATATTTTTTACTGTTTTTCTATACTACTGGGTTAGTATTTCTTCTAAACCATTGGGTTAATGTATTTTAAAATCTACTTTAAAATGATTCACCTTTTTAATCCCACTCTCTGTGAATTCAGAGGTTTGATATGAAGTTAGATTATATTTTAATACAGTTAAAAGACACACCTTTTAAAAATGTAAAATACTAATTAATAAACCACCTAAAAATATCTTCCCCTATTCCAATGATACGTGCTTTACCCTTTGACAGATACTACATAAAGAATATGCTGTAAAAACAGACCGTGCACACATTTATTCAGAAAGCTCTCTTCTTCTTCGGAAATGGTTACAAAAAGGGAGGTTTTCATATTTAACTTTTGACATTTTATAGCTTCAGGATTCAGAGCTCACTCCTCTTCTACTTCCCTGTAAATTTATTATAGTCCCTTTGCCTCTCTCAAAGTACAAGCCTGCTTCTTATTTCCTCCATGACTGAATTAGGCCACATTGGCAAGGAAATGAAATGCGCTCGGGGACCTGTCTCATGGAGCCCAGAGAGGAGACCAGGAGCTGACAGAACCTGGCCCTTAGCAAGTCACGGTTCTCTCTTGAGACTTTTCTGCCATTCTCCATGGTCAGTTTTTCACTTACCTGCCTACCAGCTGGCTTTCATCGCTCTCTATTTGGGATCTTTTCCAGATCTTTCTGGAAGTGTTTGGTTGCCTTCCAACATTCTCTACATCAGGGTATTATGATAATCTACATCACGATAATCTTTTTGCTTTCTGCCTCAATAGCAACTACCTCAAAGCCTCACTTTTTAATACAACTTCTCAAGGAAAGATTGGCTGACCAGGGATGGGCCAGATTCCTACTGTTCAAATAATTAGCCACAATTATGAGTAGTGTCAGCTGGGAGAGCTCCATCTACAAGGTGTGGGTGGGGCCTTCAGAAAGCAGTGTTGGTGTCCGGTGTCTGGAAGCCTCCGGCGGCAGTGTGGAATGGCTCTGTGGGACTGTGGGAGTCACTGCTCACAATGGCCTTGGACTGTGCCACCTCTTGTGAAATCATCAATCAAGTGTCACTTTGTGATTTTGTTTTTACAAGAACACTAACGTGAGCTTCCTTGCGGAGAGCTTGAAATGTGGCTACAGCAGCTGACACTGACAATTTCTTTTTGTTTCGAAAACACAATATCAGGAAGTAGTCACACCATGCCAAGGAATTTCTTAAATAGATGCCTACATTTGAAACTATTTTAGGGAATTTAAAAATTTAAACTTATTAAGATTTATAGTTTCCCATGATTGTTATCAATTATAAAATTGGGGACCTATTTAGATACTACATCTTGCATCTATGTTTCCATTTATTCTTATGTAGAAAAAGAAATTTTTTTTTTTTCAAAAATCCTTTCCTGGAATATTTGAAGATAGACTATAAAGACAAATATCAGAGAAGTTATTAAGATTACTTGTATGAGACCAAATTCTCTTAAATAATGTTATCTGCATTTTATCACAGGAAACAAAGGGGATCCTGCAAGTCAGTTTGGTCCACCCGGTCCAAAGGGTGAGCCAGGCAGCCCTGGATGTCCAGGTATTGCTACATATTTTTCTTATTAATCCAAAAAGAATACATGTGGTTTGAAAGCTAGAACGATTACTTTATCCTCTGAGTCAGCGATGATTATGTTAGTATTTTCTTCCCCCTTGGCCACTAAGACGCATGTCAGGAGGATTATGTACACACACAGCATTGCATCCCTGGCTGAGAAGGACACTAGGACTGTACCCCAGGGACTCACAGTCTTTCCTAACCATGGCTCCCAGGACCGATGATGTTGACATGACAATGCAATCAGGTGTGCCCAGATTTTGACAATGATTATTGAAAGCAAAAGGAACTTGGACTAGTTTGCAGTCTCTCTAATTAAAATGATACATCAGCAATGACCACTCACACTGAGTACAGCTGCAGGTTCTCATTCAGCCCTTTCTTTCCTACTCAGAAAGGCGTATGTGAATGCCAGTGAGATATCACTGCTAGGATATTCCTAAGATATCACTGAATTGCTCATTTAGGAAATACCAAATTTACCAAAAACCAAACCAAACAAATGTAAAACCTCATCACCAGTGACAAATCTAAGTTCTTCTAAATAGTACCTTCTTTGTCAGTAACAACGGATGTATAATCCCTCTGAACAGACAGATCAGTGGGTTCTTGCCCTCCAGTCCAGGAGGCTGCGGTTGACTACAATAGCTGACCTGCAGCTGACAAGAGATTTTTTTTTTCCTTAGTCATTCCACCATAGGCATTAATCTTACGTCATCAATCGGACGAGTGTACAAAGATGCGCCCACAAGGATATCCATTGATTGGAAAGAACAGGTCCATCATAGATGGTTGGTTACGTAACCTGTCCACTGCCAGGTTGGAAGCCAGGTTCGTATTTAGATGGGTCCCTTGTAAATTAAAGCCTCTCATATTAATATTTTTGCGCACTATCTTGAAATTCTCTCTGGCAATAGGCATGTTTTATTCCATAGAACAGAAAGAACATCTGAACAGAACTTTATGGGAAATTTTATTTCTTGGTTGTTATACCACAATTGCTCAAATGGAAGTCTAACAGAAGAACTAGCGATCACAATGTTTTCATCTCGCATTCTCTTTCATATGGGTCTTTCACCTCTGACATGGTCAAATATAGTTCATATTTTAACAGAAAGGTATAGCCTAAGTGTACGTTTGGAGAAGAAAATAGTTTTGAGGTTAGCGCTATGAGGGTTCTTAAGTGCCAGAATGAAAGGTCTCAGAAAGGAAAATTAGTGGTTCAAAGTCACCCTTATTATTACAGTGCATGGGGGTCTTGGCAAGTTGCTTATCATCTCTGAGCTCAGTGTCCTCACCTGCAAACTGGCCCAATGCTCAATGTAGGATCATTCAGAGGATCAAATGAGATGTTTGGAGAGCAATTTGTAAACTGAAAATTGCTACACAAATGTAAAATGTCATTGTCACCATCATCACCAGTCAGCAAAGCATTAAGAGATTTTTCTATAGTTACTGGTATCTTTATGTGAACCCTGAAGATAGTAAAATTTTATAAACTGAAGGTAGTAAAATATGGAGCCCTTTGATATTACCTAATATTCTAATTTAAAAATCATAAATCTGAGTTCTTTGACACTTAGGCTAACTTTTTCAAGAAACTTTGCCTTGGCATAATGTCCCTGGTCTCCTGTGGTTAGCACCACCTAAATTGTTCCCTGTCCTGTATGCCATAGCTTTAGGTTAAAAATTTTTAAATGACATCTTATGTTATTTACCAGCTCAGAGTTTACCTACATATGTGATTTCCATTGACTGGAAAGAGCTGCATTGAATTTGAATGAGCCCAACGAGACGCCATAGGGCTGCTGCTGTCTCAGGGGTTATGTAGGATTTTACTGGGTCCAGTTTCATCGCCCCTTCAATTCAGAGAGAAAACACAGTAGCGATGAACTCAAACATTCTATTCATACTACAGCTGTGATGGGGAGGCAAACCTTTTACTACTTCGGTTTTTTCATGTGGAGATGAGAATAATGCTGCCTTATCTTCACGCCAGGAATGTTTTCAGGGTAATAAAATAACAGAGAGAGGCTCAAGGTCTTAAATTGGTCTGGGAACAGGTATCAACTAACATAGTCTTGTTTCCTGTGTGTTATAATAAATAATGACTATGCCCTCACCGTGGGTTTGTCAGTACAGAGCCCTAGGTTTTATTTGTGGCTACAACTGGTTATTTTTTTTTTTTTTAGCACTGAGTGTTAGTTTATCCTATGAATATGAATTGTATTAAAATCACACATTGGAAATAAACATATGGGGAAATGGTTATCTTCTCTAGTAATCAAAGAAGTGTAACTTAATGTAAGTCTGGAATATTATTTCATCCTTACTAAATTAGCAAGAAAATAAACCAACAGCCTAAAAAGGCCTCGGTGAGTGCCTTCCCTGCTCTTGGACGTTCGAGGATGAGTGTGGGTGGGACTGTGGGGTGGAGTGAGTTGGTGCAGCACTTGTCCGAACCAGTTGGCAACCTCTATCAAGAACCAAACGCTGAATGGTCTGTGCTAGAAGCCTAGAGAACAACTGAACTGTTCTTTTCAGCAAATCACTGTCCTGAGAAAGGAACTGTAGTAGATTTTTTTTTTAATGTAAGAGATATATCCACCAGATGCCATGTGTGCTTCTGGAATGGAACCCAGTGTGGACAAGCCAGCTGTGAAGGACATTAAGGGGATAGTTGGGGGAATTCAAGAATGGAATGAGTATTAGATTATATTAAGGATTGCTATTAATTTCCTTGGCTGTGATAATGTTATTTTGCCCATGTAAGGGAATGGTATTTTTCAGACATACCTCCTGAAATATTTAGGGATGGAATTCCATGATGTCTGTGATTTACTTTAAAATATCTCAGCATTTTAAAATAAAGAAAAAGACCCAAAATGTTATGTTACCTAGAAATTCTACTCCTAGGAACTTTTCTAAGGAAATAATGTAATAGTAGAAAAATGTATTAAAGATGTATAAAAATCATTATGCATAATAGCAAAAAGAAAAACACTTGAGTGGCCCAAAGTAGGAAACATTTGCATTAATTAATTAAATTTAGGTGAACTCAGTAAGCTATGAGCCAGTCACTTAAAAACAAGAATTAGGAAAATGATGACAAACTTGGAAAATTACTTCTGATTCAATGCCAATTTAAAAAATCAGAATATAAAATTGTGGGTATTATTTGCACTTTGTATACATATAAAAGTTGTTTAAGGTGGTGGGATTATAGGTGTTTTGTTTTTAATTTTTTCTTAATGTTATCTTCTCAATAGAAAAATTGTTAATATAAAAAAGTAAGACTAGAAAAGAATAACAAGGGCTGAGTTGGAGGTTTTATAGATTCACCGTCTTGAAGAGCATCTACAACCACTCAGATTTTTCATCTTTCTTTGTTTAGGGCATTTGGGAGCTCCCGGAGAGAAGGGCTTGGCCGGTGCTCAAGGGCCCAGAGGACCACCAGGAAGGCCAGGACTGCCCGGCTCCTCCGGACCACCAGGGTGTCCAGGTACCTTGGGAAGAAGCCTGGAACCTTCCGAGACACCTATCTATCTCGTGGTGCATCAGAAAGGACCAGCCTTCACTCAGACCTGGGTTCCGCTCTGGTTCTGCCATTTCCCAGACCAGAACTTTGAACTAGTCACCCAAACTTCCCTATTCCTTCCTTACCTGTCAACTGGAGCTAGTCCTCACTCCCTGGGTGGTCTGGGAATAAAACTAGGTCAACACCTATAAAGGGGCTAACAGGGTGCCAGGCACAAAGGGATGGCACTCCTTTCCTGCCCTTCCTAATTTACCTGCCGTTCAGGATGCTGGCTTCTTTTTTCTCCTTTAGACTTAAGGTAAATATCACACATACAGGACAGCATTGTAAAGGCTCCTCTTCCTGCCCATTCAGAATAAAGTGAGAGTAGAAATCATAATTGGCAACTTTAATTGCTCAAAAGTGTATTTTTTTCCTTCTGAGCTTAAGTGTATTTTTTCTCCCTAGAGTCAGGAGGCCTAGGAGAAAAACTAATAAAACAGTGTTCCTGGTTCAAGTACCTCCTATAATAAGAACATCGATGACCCTCCCAGTTAATGTAGCTCATGTGCCATCTGGGTGTCTGCAAAACCTCCCTGTCATCCTCAGGTGATCAAGGGATGCCTGGGCCAAAGGGACATCCAGGAGAAATGGGGGACCCTGGACCAAGAGGCCTCATGGGGTATCCAGGGACACCAGGTCTTCCAGGAATAAAAGGTAAGTCAAAGAGGAATCCTTGCCCATCAGAAAAATCCAGGCCAATGAGGATTTGCATTGCATAGTGGGCAAATGCGTAGTGGCTCTCCAGCATTGAGTGACATTGCTCCTGGTCATGGCCCTTCCCCAGCCCCTGCCTGTACTTTCTCACTCAGGGCTCCAGGCAGTGCCCATCTAGCCTCCTGACCTGCCTCCTAACAAAATGATGGTGATACCATCTCATTTTCCAAGGCATTTCCCACAGTGTTTTCCATAATGTTCAGGCCTATTCATTTATTCTCTCCTCAGATAGTTAAGCTCCTACTATGTCCTAGATTCCAGATACTCAGTACCCAGTTTTGAAGAAAATAGACATGGTTCCTCCTTTATGGACCTCACAGTTGAGTAGGAGAGACACATATTAAATATCTATGTGTAAGTAAATATGTATTTACCAGTTGTGATAAGTGGAAGGGAGAGGGGGAAAAAAATAAGATGCTATGGCGGAACTGGAATTCATTACCTTTGTTGATGAAGAAACATTTTTTCCTGGTTGAATTTTTCAGTCTTTAAAGATGGGTTATAATATAGGTCTGGTCAATATAACATAATGCCATAGAATTATACAACTGATTTTTAACAAATTTCCATGCCTTCTCCCATTCATCTATGGTACTTGTTTCTCTTCAGTTCATTGCTTTCATTTTAGGCAAAATATTTTTCCACTGGTACTTTGTGTGTACCTCTAGCCTAATAATACTTATATTGTATAACATTTGTTTCTTAGTAGTTTTTCTCACCAAGTGATTTTTTAAAAATCAAGGACTATGTTTATATGCTTGGCACTCAGTAGATACCCAATAAGCCTATTGGTTGGTTATTGTATTTTTAAATTTATGAATAATTTAATAAATGAAGGGATGGACAATAGAAGAAGGAACATCTGAGCTAGTAGTTATGAAGATGAGGGTTTTCACCCCAATCAACAGTTGAAGGTTCAAGCCTTACTTGATATATTTCTGTAGCCCATCTTCCTCTACCTCCTCCTTTTTCTTTTCCCTCCCACTTTTTCCATGATTAACCACTTCTACTGTATTTCCCCTTTCTATCCTTGAATTAGTTTACATTTATTACATAAGTTCAGTATATGTTATAGTAAAACCTAACAGCTAATGAATTTGATCGAATAAATATTACTTGAAGGTAATCTCTAATCACATCATAATTCTGTGCTTTGAAAAAACAAGTTTGCTAAGAAGAGAAGGTGAGGAAATATACCCACTCAAGTATCCAGTGCGCAGAAGGATGCTGCAGTGCGCCTCCCGACCACGTGGTGGCACTGTTTCACTGTGAACCGCCTATTGCACAGCCAGCCTTAAAAAGAAAACAGTGAAACAGATTCCTAAAAATTAGAACTCCGACCATCTAAATCCATTGTTGCTTTTTATCATGCTGGTATAAAATTGAACCACACTCCAGCAGAAACACTTTGAACTGCGAAATTAAATATTTGAAGTATGTGCTAAATAAGTCAAGGGGCCCGATTTTCTTGTTTGAACAAACCAGCTGCTGAACTCAAAGTTGTTTGCTCTGCTAGAACGGGCCATATGGATTCTGAGTCCTGCTTGTGTTCAGTCAGATTTAAACTTTAACTTAAACATATGCTGAAAATGGCTTGGTTCCTAGACTTAAATTTCCAAGTACACATGCCCTCTACAAGGAAGACACTCTGTTCCTAGTTGGACGTTCATAGAGGATTGGCTTAATGGGGACTGAAAGACAACTTCGTAGCGTGACAAGGACTCATTTGGTTGGGTTATTTTGGTTGGTGGCAAGTAAAATATTTCATAAGAAATAAAATACCTTGGAGTGTCTTTTATCAGCCAAGTAATATTTTCTCTCCCTTTTTACAACTAGAGTGTTCTCCTCCTGCCCACCTCCTACACCCTCCTCCCCCTCCCCTCACCCCCCCCAGACACACACACACAGCACTTACCATTCCAGGGGTGGATGCCTGTTCTGTCAAATTGGGGCTGTTTCTCTAGGTTCCTCATTCTCTTATCTAGCACTTGTCACTAAGCACATTTGGGGACTGACGCTCCCTGGGTGTGGAGACCATGTCTTATGCGCTTGTGCATTCCTTTAGTAGAGACTAATCTATTTTCTGAATTTTGGAAAAAAATGAAATTGTATTTCAGAACCTGTTTTGATAAGTTTTCAACTCTGCTCAACTGTTATTTATAGCCATGAAGGTCTCTCTTTCCCATCAGCTTTAACATTAGGGTGACCAGCTGTCCCGGTTTGCCTGGAATCGAGGGGTGTGTGTGTGTGTGTGTGTGTGTGTCAGGCTGTGGAACTTCCTGTGTTAGAACTAGGAAAGTCCCCAACAAATAGGTCCCCTATTAAAAGTATAAACCTGTGTAAAGGCTCTTGGAGATAGAACCGTGTTTTCGGCTCTAGGACAAGAAAACCTACCAGTGGAGATTCAGTGACAAAGCTGTTTGACTTGGAGGCTAGGGTGACAATTATGGCTGAAGGCTGGAGTGGAGGGTAGACCCTCTGACTGGAGGGAGAGCCCAGCCTGCGAGTGCAGGGAGATGCAGCCTTAAGTGATGGTTGTTAGCTGAAGCCGTCCACAGAGGTGAATAAAAGTCCTCATTACCAAGGAATGTGCTTTGTTAGCTTAATTGCCTCTCATCTGTACTGTATATATTTTATGCATGAACAACTTTCTGATTTAGAGATGAGATTGATAAAAAGCTTTCAGTAAAAAGGAAAAATTGCCCTTAAAACCCTACCCAGATGTAGCTGCATTCAATTTAGAAAGATAACATTGGGTCAGATAAGGGTCGGACAGTTCAACAATGGCTAGGGCCTGGGATTGTGACAGGCCAGGATCTGGACGTGTTGATGTGACAATGGAGAGTTGGCAGAAGCCAGGGCATTCCACCCCCAGCCAGCTCCCCCAAGACATCAATCTTGGTGGCTTAACCCAGAGATCAAAACACATAGAAATAACAAAGTAATCTTGAAATTTATTATCATTTCAGATAGATTGCAGTAAATATCTAGATTTGGCAGATGAGGAAGGTCTGTGTGTTCTTTTAGTGCAAACTTGGAACATTGGCTCATAAATAGAAAAGATGATTGGAAAATAAACTAAACCAGAATTGTTAAAAGTATAAGGAAATAAGATCTTTAAGGAAAGTAAGGGTGTATTCCCAAATTTTTTTTGGGGGGGGAGGGTGCAAGAGAATATGGCTTATTTGTACCAATCTAAAGTTTATTTTATTTTTTATTGTATTTATTGGGGGTGACATTGGTTAATAAAATTTATATTGGTTTCATGCATACAATTCTACAATAGATCATCTGTATATTGTATAATGTGTTTATCACCCCAAGTCAAGTTTCCTTCCATCACCATTTACCCTTCATTTACCTTCCCCAACCCTAAAGTTTAGATTTTAAAAATAGAATCACTGTGTGTTTCAAGTACTGACAATAAATAAAATGGAACCAACTAACTTCTATCTTCTAATACGTCCACAGAGAACTTGCTTTTGTGAACATATAATAGTTAGCACTTGAATTATTTATATACAAATGGATACCTCTAACTTCCCCAAATCTTACTATAAATCTATCACAGAAAGATGAGACATGAAATAGAAATGGTAGTCCACTTCTTTTTAAAGCTTTTTATCCACCTGTTCAATCCTTCCCCCTCCACGTTCCACATTTTCTCACTCACTCATTGGTTTACTCACTCATTCAATGAACATTCATTGAATATTTACTGTGTGTCAGGAGATATGCCAAGTATATACATAGAAAGATTAATAAGATCTGATCTTACAATCAATTAATTTACACCAAATAAACCAGTTATCCAGACATGATTGTTGTACAGCGTGAGCCTAGCATAGGGCATCCTGGGGTTCTCTGTGGGTGTCATGGCATAGGGACGGGCACTTTCTGGGTGTTAGTCCTATAAGCTGAGGCTGTCAGTATCACAAATCCAAGGGCTGTGACCATAAGCTGAGTGAATGGCTGGCTGTGCACGGAGGGGCTTACAGCCTTGGATAAGAATGAGCAGCTACTGGCTGGAAGAACCATTGATGAAAGAGGAAGGTTACCAGGCGTGGCCAGGGGCTGAGGAGAAGATTCTTTCCCCAAATTAATCAGTGGAGCAAGATGTGTGTGAAGCACATGGCAGAGGGCTCAGTACCTGGAATTTTCTGTACATATTGGTTACCTTCTTTCCTTCTTCTCTCCCTCCTTTTCTTCCTTCTACTGCCTTCCTATAAATTTATATATTTGCATACTGTAACATAATGCACTATATAATATAAACATATTTTAAATATGTAGTTTATATATCTATATATTGATAAATATATAGTGACAACTTAAGTAAAGCCAGGTCAGCAGATGTCTCTTTAGAGAACAGATGTCCGATAGAAGATTCTGCAAGAAAATGGTGTGAATGAGATCCCATCTAACTGCAGAGAATCAAGTTTCAGTGGTCATCATGAAATATATTTTGTTTCTGAAAAGAGGCATCAGAATGATTCTCTTTGAAAGAAGTGGTTGCAAAGAAAGAGCTGCAGCCAAACTTGACCTTCAAGCCTGATCTTTCTGAGCAGCACAGTTATTTTAAAAAAATTAGAGAGGATATATACTCCCCAGTATGCCCCAGGCCCCACCTGTCTTTATTGTCTTACTTCTTCAACCTAACTAGATCCTTCAGAAATGAGAATTTAAATACCCTGGCTGACCTAGCTGATTTGGCTCAGTGGACAGAGCGTTGGCCTGCAGACTGAAGGGTCCCAAGTTCCATTCTGGTTAAGGGCACATGCCTGGATTGCAGGCTCAATTCCCAGTGCAGAAGGCAGCCAATCAATGATTCTCTCTCATCATTGATGTTTCTGTCTCTCTCTCCCTCTCCCTTCCTCTCTGAAATCAATAAAAAAATCATCAAATGAATGATAAATAATAACTACTGGCATGGATTCAGTCCTGACAATGGTGTGTAGACTGTGAGATCTTGTGGTTCCCACCTAGAGAATCTGTCCATCTCCATCAGCAGGCCCCCCTCTGAGAGGTGCCTGGGAACCATGGCCAGTGAAGTTCAAGGGCTGGTCTCCTCCCAGGGGTCACAGGCCTGTGATGTGTTGCAGGTCCCCCCGGGTTACCCGGCCTGAATGGCTTGCATGGTTTAAAGGGTCAGAAAGGAACCAAAGGAGCTTCAGGTAAGAGGAAACCCTCCGTGAGAGACTTACCTGCAATCAGTGGACCTCTGGTAGGTATTTCCTCACGTCTCACAATGTGGGTGGTGACACAAGGACACTGGCTTAGCACTGAGACACAGTATGGGACTCCTTTTAGTGCTGAAGGTGACTGATATAAAAGGACACTTGAGAAAACCCAAAGTAAGAGGGGATGGGTGGTAACAGAGCCTTTTGTTGATGTTGCTTAGGATGATCTCTCTACTAAAATACACTGGGTAATTGCTTAGGTGGGGCAAGATTTCACAATGTTATGAAGAACAAATAAATAGTCCAGATTTCTTTTTGTCTTGTTTTGTTTTAGGTGTAGTATTGCCAAGTACAACCATGTGGGTCTCATTAGCACTTTTAGCATCTCTCAAACAGCCTGCTGCTGAAACAAATTACCTGAACAAATTACTGTTACTTTTGACATAGCAAATAGATAATTATCAACAACTGCATTTTAGTTTGTTCCGGTATCTTACCTAATAATAGACAAACATGTAAATTGACCATCCTTCTGATACATTCACCGGCCAATCAGTAGAGTATGTGAATTAACCCAACAAAGATGGCCGTTAATTTGCATACATAGGTGCCCAGCAGCCTGGGTCCCAGGAACATCATCGGCACCCAGGTCACTCCAAGGTAGGCCCCGTGTGGGCCCTGAGCAGTGTAGGAAGGGTCTGAGCCAGAGGGCTCCTGGGCAGGGGCGGAGCCAGCCATCGGAGCTGTGGGGGGGGGCCCTGCCCAAGCCTAAAGCCTCAGCCAGAGGCGTTAGGCCTGGGTGGGGGGCGGAGCCGGCAATTGGAGGGGTCTAGGGGTCCCCTGCCCAGGCCTGACACCTCTGGCTGAGGCGTCAGGCCTGGGCGAGGGGCCGATCGGCAATTGGACGGTGATGGGGGTTGACACCTTTGGCTGAGGCGTCAGGCCTGGGTGGGGGACTGAGCTGGTGATCGGGGGAAATGGGGGTCCCCTGCCCAGGCCTGACACCTCTGGCTGAGGCATCAGGCTTGGGCAGGGGGAGGGTGATGGGGGTCAACACCTCTGGCCAAGGCATTAGGCCTGGGCGGGGGGCAGAGCCAGCGATCACAGGGTGATGGGGTTCGTTGCCTCTGGCTGAGGCGTCAGGCCTGGGCAATCAGAGGGTGATGGGGGTTGACACCTCTGGCTGAGGCATCAGGCTTGGGCAGAGGGGCCAAGCTGGCAATCGGTGTGAACTACAGAGGAAACACCTGTTCTGACCGCTCATTGGCTAAGCTCCCTGTTTGCCACTGGTAATATCCTTAGTAACTTGGGTAATAAATCCAAAACAAGGTGATCTAGGGTTTTTCACCACACTCCTGGAGAAAAAAAACTAAGGTCCGCTGCTGGAGGGCTAAGAAATGTCATATCCAGTCCTAGCCGGGTTGGCTGAGTGGATAATGCCTTGGCCTGCCGATGGCAGGGTCTGGGTTCAATTCTGACCAAGGGCATGTACCTAGGTTGCAGGCTCCTCCCTGGCCAGGGCCTCATGCAGGAGGGAACCAAT